TAATTGACCTCTCTCTAGCATTGTCGCCTATAAAATCCAGACTATAATAGTGTCTATAACTCTTGGGCTAATGCTGGAGTTCTGTGGAATTGCACATGTGGGTGTCCAGCAGAATGCCTGACACAATCCACCATGGGTTGTTGGCCCAGCTACCCCCTCTCCCCATCTTCCATGTAGTATTCCAAGCCAATCCAGCCAAGCTGACACTTCACAGCCCAGTGCCCGGCATGCTTTGAGTGCTCTGTGGTGGCAGTCGTCCTTGTGTCCCAAATTCTCTAAGAGGGCAGACTGGTGACCTGGAGTTTCATGCCTGCTCTGGCTCTGGAACTGGTGCAGGGCTCAGGAAAGCCTCTCCAGATGCCTTGCTCTCTGTGGGTGGGCGAAGTGGCCACAGTCCATCCACTGTCCAATAACTTTTCCTTCAGCACCGCATGCTGTTGTGTCCTGGGTCCTTGGACCACAGGACACAACAGCATGGTAGATAGGAGACAGGAGAAGCCCTAGGACACCAGACAGCCCAGGCCAGGCCAAGAAAGGCATCAGGCCTTGGTTAGAAACAAAAAAACCTATGTGATCCATCTGTCTTGTGGCCTTTGTTGTAGCCAGAGCTTCCTGGGTATTGATGGTGGGCTCATGCTTTTTCTGAGAGTAGGGTGGGCTTGCCAGGATTGGCTCTGCAGGGGACTACCCGAATTAGGGAGCTGGAAAAATACCTCCAGAAATGGATTCCTTACTGCAGCTGCTTTTAATAGAACTTTCTTATTTTTCTCTTGAAAAGCCTCACCTTTCTCTTGGCTGCAATGGGAACCCTAGTGGAAAAAAATCTTGCAGAAAAAATAAAGCAGTTCTTCTATTCCAGCCCCGGGAAGGAGGTTAGTGGGGTGCATCTGTTTGCCCAGCCACCCCCTCTCCCCATCCTCCCCTCAGTACTCCAGGCCAACCCAGCCGAGCTGACACTTGACAGCGTCTGCAGTTTACCTTGGCTCAGGTCCAGAGAGTTGGGCCCAGCCCGGGCGGCCCCCACCTCTCCACCTTGTTACCAGCCCCCCTCTCCAGCGCAAAGAACAGTTTAAACATAAATCAGTCCTTGACACAAACAGAACCTCAGCGAGTCTCAGAGCTATCACCGGAACTGAGTGTCCAGGTTTTCTTTGGCGAGTGCAAACAAGCAGAGACTGGCTCAGTAAATCTCCCGGAGCGCGGGGGCTCCCCTCTCCTCCAGAAACCCCAGCTCTCCTCCAACAGCCCTGGCTCCCTTTGGCCCCTCCAGAGCCCCTAGGTCCTTCTCCTGCCTCCTCCTGCCCCAGTAGCCCTACGGACCCCTTCCCTGATCCTCTTCAATATCCCGCCAGCGGGTTCCT